AAAGGAGGTGAGGGGGTGGGGGCAGAAAGTGGAAATGAAAGCAGACAACAGAACATAGCCAGAGACAGGAAATGAGGTGAAAGGAGACAATTTTAGAGAAGAACATTTTTTTGGTTGCTACCCGGATTCGAACCCGGGACTTTTGAATGAGAGGCCAACACCTAAACCTCTAGGCCACGAGAGCCCCCTATTGCTAGAGAGTGAATTGCCAAGCATTGGAAATAAACTTGAGCATAATGATGCGCTACTTTTCAAGGGATGTGTGTAGCTCTACAAAAATGACAACTGCAGTAGTGAAACTCTTGAAGTTATCCGCCATTGTGTGTTATTTATATAGATTCTAACGCAATATTCAGATTGCTGCGCAATTGCACCATCGTTAAAGGGCAGTCCTATTCGGACCCAAGTCCGATTACATTTCTTAATCTATTCGGACTCGAATACGAATGTGGGTTTTATTATCTATTCGGCCAACTGGGGTCCCAAAAAAATGTTTTAATTATTCGGACTCGGCTTTTAAGTGAGTGTGAGTATAAGGGGGTTACATAAATATAACAGTCGTCGGGCTATTTTACGTAAAACCAGAATTAGGACTAGATCTATAATTACCTATTAAGACTGTGTAATTGTGTCAAAAGAAAAAGACTGCACTCTCGTTGCCCAATGGCAGTGTCTACGTCCTATGTACACGATAACCGACAACTCAGGGTCTTACCACCACCACTACAGCTTCATCATTACTTCCACCACCATTTATCTTTCCACATGTTTAATTTCATTTTGTTGTGTGTTATCTGTTACAGTTTTTCTGTAATTTTTTTAAAAATCACATCGCACAAAATCGACAGCCGTGGCCTCTTCCCAACACCTCTTCCCCCAGCAAGCCGAGAGTGCGTGATCGCGACGTGCAATCTCATTGGTCGATATAACATGGGTCTCAACTCAGATTTAACAAAGGAGGAACTTTCCAGGTGATCACGACAGAAGCACATTTTTGCGAAACACCAATTATTATTATACTGTTGAACCCTAGAATGCTGAAATAATAACCATCATTTTATCAAAATTTTAACAAGGTTATTTCACATCAACTTGAGGGTATGGAAGATAATGTCAAGTTAGAGTCACTTCCCCAATATTTACGATCTTGATTACATACAGAAAGTGGTGGCGCACTGGGGTCTTGTGCCACTTATTTATATTTTCTTTTCATCATTCGCCTGCATATATATATATATAAATACATAAAAATGAATCTTGTTTTGAGCCTGAGAAAAGGCCTAGAACCAGAATATCGACTATCATGAACCAGTCTGAGTGTCATGATTCATATCATATATATAATAAACTTGACAGACAAAAATTAATGCTAAAACTCAAATTAGAGTAATAACTCAAATAGACTATAGCTCGAGTAAACCTATTCAGAGTGAGAGGTGTAAGAACTGTGGGAGGGTAAGATGCAGTGACACTGAAAATCTGCGAATCTTGAACAGAAATACTAAAGAAATAAAAAATAAAGAATTTACTGTCACCCATCCAATGAAACGCGAACACTTGACTTAGGCCCCTAAATTCAATAACACGTCATTCAAGTTTTATGTCGGTTCCCGATTTCACACAAGGCCTGCACAAACACGCTCTTCACTTTGCAGAGAGCTGTAGACGTAATCAAAATTCTAAATATTAAAATATTAAAAATGTCAGTTTGTTTGTCCTCTGGTGTTGCGTCCAGCCCTCCCCTCATCCCCGAGTGTATCTTTTTTAATAAAATCAATAATCTCCCCCCATTTCGGAGTCCTGTATTTCGCAGCGCTCAGAACACGCGCAGGTTCACTGACAGGCCACAATAGCCAGCCCGACAAGATGCTTGTATAAATAACTTTCTTTTCTTTTTTTTGCCCCCACAAGTGACAGCACTGACGAATATTGATTTATTTTCATGTCGACACCACGTATGTAATGCAGAACCTGCATGTTACAAATGTTGCATTATCAGACTATTACTGACAAATTTTTGGGTGGTACCGAAAGCAGAACTTGACTTTCCGGTCGAGCCTCGGTGTCACATACAATTCCGCCTGCCGCCATAGCCGCGACCGGCAAAAATGAACTTAGAGGCGTATCGGATTTGGTTTTCAAATATTCGAGATCTTTTAAGTATTTTTCCCAGGTCTCGGCGATTTTTTTCTATTTCTCATGTAGCCTAATTCCCAGGGCCTGGCAGTCATCCTGCTCCCAGCAACTCTCTTTCTGACGGGCC